AAAAAAATTCTAAATGTACGAGAGAATTCTAAATTCACTAGAAAAGTCTAGAGTTCTCGAAAAAAAATTCTAAATGTACGAGAGAATTCTAAATTCACTAGAAAAGTCTAGATTTCTCGAAAAAAAATTCTACATTCACGAAAAAATTCTAAATTTCTCGAAAAAAAATTCTAAATGTACGAGAGAATTCTAAGTTCACTAGAAAAGTCTATATTTCTCGAAAAAAAATTCTAAATTCACAAGAGAATTCTAAATTCACGAGAAAATTCTAAATTTCTCGAAAGGAATTCTACATTCACGAGAAAATTCTACACTTCTCGAAAAAAAATTCTAAATTAACGAGAGAATTCTAAATTCACGAGAAAATTCTACATTTCTCGAAAAAAAAATTCTAAATTTCACGGCAACATTCTAAATTCGCGAGAAAATTCTGAAGTTTCTAAATTTTATAGCAATAATATCTGAAGTTAGATATTAAACGTTGAATGGCATTTGAAAATTACTTTTGATCGAAATATACGATATCTCGAAGGAATCACTCAACAATGCGACATAATCTGCGATATAAAATCCATGCGATCGTCAGAGTTATTCTGTATTTCAAATTAACCGACAGGAGGCAGAATGTGAGAAAGCAGCGATGGACATAAAATACAACACGGACACAAAGATCGAGGACAATGCTAGATTGTTTCAACTGCAGAAGGCGAATTTCGATCAAGAAGTGAACACAGCGGTAAGACTCAATATTCATCTGGTTGGAACCATTCTGAAGAAAAAAAAATTATCTAACAATAATTGTTAAATATAAAATAATTATGTTTACTTAAAATAATTCTCTCGAATTAGTATAATTGGATTTTATATGACTGGTAGCGATTTATGTTAGATTACTGATATCTAGTTTTACATCCTCCCTGTCAGAGTGTAATAACAAAATCACATTGAATGAAAAATATCAAAATTGAATAATTACGAATTATTCATCAGATTGAAGAAGAAAGTTTTTCAATTATTGTTGTAAATAAAAAAATAAAAACCTTGACCGAAGCAATTTTGAGGAATGGAAATGATCTTAAAGCAGTTATAAGTTCTGCCTTACGTTGGCAATTCATCTTCAATTTCGTTTCTGTAGAACTATTATCATCTACTACAGTTCCACGATGATTATGATCATAGCCACAATTGCGATTAATTACACAATGAATTAATTGTGAACATTAGTTGCTGATTAGACAAGTAAATTGCTAAAAAGGGAACCTGTAGTATTCTTAAT